TGAAACATAAAGCTAAATTACACTTGCTTTTCGAGTGTAACGCTGTCCATTGTTTTAGGCTTGCTAACTTTTATGATCTCGTTGGTTTTGTTATGCATTTTCCTTTTTGAGCTTTGTGCTACAGAAGTACAATTCCCAGCAAGATTTTAAATGATGACTAACACCTCCGGAACAGATAAGTTTAACAATGGACTCCAGGTGAAATTAGCCTAAGGACCACTCCTCCTAAAACCTCCTTGTTGCTTGGATGTGGCTGAAAATGCTTCTGACCCTGACTCTGGGGTGTTCAAATACCTCCTCCATATGTTGCACCTGCTCACAACCAGGTCCGATCCAACCTGGAAACAGAGGACAAGTGGAACCCTGCTGCAGGATGGTTGAACCATGGTGTGCTCAGAAAAGGGTCAAGATGGGGTCACTGACGTCAACCCCAGGCAAAAATAGAAAAGCCGAGAGGTTGTGAAGGAGGGGTTCTTATGCACAATTGCCATTCTGGTAACTGTCACAGAGGACTTTGCTAGAACTGTACCCTCTAGATAGGGCCCAGATTCGAAACTTGTGGTTCTCACACCTACGGCTGGAACATTGCCACCGAAGGCTGGTTGCAGTGTCTGGGAACAAGGCCCCTTTCTGATGTATGGGGGGAGACTTCTGGGCAGCCCACCATGAGTCGCCACTTCTGGTCAGGGAAATGTCCTTGTTGAATCCTGAAGTTTTCCTGTTGAGGAAAGCAGTTCTCCAAAGCTGAATATTTTAGATGTCCTTACAGCTGCCCAAGGGGAAATTGTGCCCTCGTTAACACAGAACGCTGTGTCTGCATCCTCAGTGTCTGGAAGTACCTCTGTGCCCGTGGTTACTGGTCAGACAAGCTTACACCTAAGAACAAGCAACTCCGATTTCACAATGTAGATTCTATTTTCTCTCTTGTCTGTAGTAATTCCTCTCATATTGCTCCTCTTCACCCCAACTCTTGGGCCTCCTTCAGAATGAGCTTAGTTTAGTTTATCTCCTCCAAAACACAGCAAATCCATCTCCAAATGGTAGTGCAACAAAGACATCGTCTCCTTCAACGTCAAATTCCTCCAAACAAAGCCACGTACAGTCCTCCAGATAATGTGGGCAGACATTTCGGGAACAAATCGCTCCTGTTCGCTGAGGTTCTGCCGACTGTCGAATCTCTGCAGCCAGGCCCTCCAGCCCCCCAAACACTTGGTGAACTGACAGGCTCAGTCGGGGTCAACGCGACACCTGTGCTCGGCATAAGGAAGCTGCCGAAGACGAGGCCTTCACTCCAAGATCTGTCATGGTCGGTCTGTCAGGGGGGCAAAGGAGGGTCACCCCAGGACAGTGGGTGGAGTCCCCTAAAATAAAGGGGCATAAGCTCCCCTCTTCACCCAGAGATACAAATCTCCTTGTGGAATAACGTCTCGGACCATAGAAAGCCCACCCAACTGAGGAAATATGCAGTACAAGTCGTCTTCTCGCATTGTAGTCCTCAGCCGTCCCCTGCTCCCTTGCAGACACGCGGCAACTGTTTCCCTAAGAAGGCACTGGCACTAGGGGTACGCCCCTCAGGTTACGGTCCATGGGCTGCACTTGCCAGGCGGGGAATCAGAGTGAATAAAGAGCTGGAAGGTTTTCTGCCAGAGCAGAAAAAGCAAAGTCTCTCTCCCTAGCCCTGTACCTAACTCTGCCCCTTGGCATGCCAATGCAGCACAGCCATCTTCCCATGCTGCACCTGTCTCCCAGAACTAAGAGGACACCATCACGTGTCCCATGTGACCTGTTGTCTGCTGCTTCCTCGCAGTGTGCTCAGTACATCTAGTTCCGTTTTTTCTGTGCTCTGGTGAATTCTTTCACCACCTACAATGGCAGATCAACACTGAAAACCAGAGAAAAATCCTGTGCACTTCAGGCAGGAGAAAGAAAATCACCTGAAATATACCCAGAACACTGTTTAATTAACAAAACCTGCCCTCAGGGGTTATCGAGTCTAACCAACCAGAGGGAAAGGAAATAGCCAACTCCAGCCCCTCTCACCTGAAGGAGAGAGAGGGGAATGGGGCTGAGCAGTACAAAGGTCAAGGGTCACTGAAAGGCTGAGACCTCAGCTTGGGACTATAGACCACTCTCCACGTCTCCTGACCCCACCAATAGGGCTCTCGTGGAGGAAATGACAGCGGAAACCACCGCACACTTCAGATCCTATTAAAGAGAGAGTCTCCGGGCCAGGCACTTAGCCTAGTGATGAAGCTCACGCCCCGTGTCGGAGTGCCTGTGTTCCACTCCTAAGTCCCGCTCCTGTTCATGTTGGGGGAATGTTTCCCAGCTCTTTTGTTCCAGACTCTTGCTCTCACAGGAGATAAGAATTCAAAGGACAGAGGTGCAAAAATGGGAGGATTTATTTAAAGAGAGAGTACACAGATGTACTGTAACCCCACAAGGAGAGACAGCTGCCATGAGAGGGCCAGGGAGCCCTTTATCGGGTAGGAGTGCTGTCCTAACTGAATATACAAACCGTGGGGTTTGGGCAGAGTTCAGTGTGTGTGGTGTCTCCACACAGAGCTCAGTTGACTGTGCTCATGATGGTGTCATGTTAGTGCTGGGAGACTCAGGTGCATCCTGGGAAAATGGCTGTGCTGGACTGGCGTGTCCTGGGGTAGAGTTAGGGTACAAGCTAGAGACAGAAAATTTTCCAGCTATTTTATTTGCTTCCTGACTCCCTGCCTGGCCCCTCATCACTAATACAGACCTGAGAGGCAGCAGTGATGGCTCCAGTACCTGGGCCCTTGCCGTTCATGTGGGAGACCCATGCTGAGTTGCTAGCTCCCCACTTCACTGACTCTCACCCTCTAGCCCTTGCAGGAATTTGGTGGTTGAAGCAGTAGAAAGGAGCTTTCTCTTGTCTGTCTGTCTCTCTCTCATCCTCTACCTCTTAAAATTTTAAAATACAAAATCTCTAGGGAAACCCAAAGACAACAGAAGAGACAAAAACAGAGTAATTGGAAGAAATTTTAGTCTGATACTTACACCTATGGCAAACAGCAAACACAAACTAACTTCTGGCCAGAGTTCCGTAAAACCTACTAAAATCCTAGTTACCTCCAATCCTTCACCGGATACACCGTGTCTGCCTCTCTTCACAAAACCAAAATCACGAAGCACTAAAAGGCGAAAAGCACGTCCTGAAGGAGCCAAGTGAACATGAGAACCAGACTCATACAGGCAGAGATTTAGCAATGACAGACCAAGGATGTAACACGATGAAGATTCACAGACTAAGGGCTCCATCCGCAGGGATTCTAGTGAGTATAGGCGGCACTGGACAGTCGTACGTGAGACAATTCTGGAGGCAGCTTTCTGCGTCTGAAGCCCAGTCCCACACACTCTATGGCTATGCTTACTTGGACCGCAATCCACTTCTGCCTCAGTTTCCTTCAAAGGAAGTTACAAGATCGTCCACATTGTTTTGTAAAGACCATTCCTAAGTTAGCAGGAGAATGGTGGCTCACTGGATGCCATGTAGATTTCACTTACAAAGCTACACTGAGTTAGTGTTGGCCACTGCTGCCATTGTTTCTGATCCTTAATGCACGGATGGGAAAACCGGGGCCCAAGGAGCAAAACTGTGCCAAGGTCACGGGCTTGGGGGTTGAGAGAGCCGGCACTGACGTCACAGCAGCCGGCCCTGAATTGTTTGCTTCCCGTGATCTATAGCTGACCCTCTTCCTCCCAGCTGCTGCTTCTCGGGCTATTTTCTTCATGGTGTAGGCGCTATTTATGCAGTGCAGCCGGCCGCCAGCAGTTGAACAGCGTTCTCACCCTGCGGACTCTGTGATCCACTTTGTTAAGCTTTATTTGGAGGTGGAGGACAGTGCAGGGAGGCCCGGGGTGGGTGCAGCCCTTTAGCCTGTCCGTTAAGCTGCCCATGTCCCACATCGAAGAGCTTGGATTCCATTCTCACCTCCAGCTTCCTGCACAAGGCCGACTCCGAGAGGCCACAGGTGGCGGCTCAAGTAGTTAGGTTCCTGCCACCCACGTGGGAGACGTGGATTGAGTCCCACCCCCCACTCTCCTGTCAAGGCAGTCACTGGCACGTGGAAAGTGAACCAGCGGATGGGAGCCCTGCTGTCTGTCTCTGAGTCTCTCTCCACCCCATAAATAAATAAATACATTTTTGAAAAACAGTACAGGAGAGGTGATAATTCCATTCAGACTTCTCAAAAAATTAGCTAAAAATTAGCAGAAATAAATCTTACTCTAACATAATAAACAGCAGAGTCAGTGCTGTAGTGCAGCAGGCTAAGGCTCTGCCTACAGTGCCAGCATCCCATATGGGCGCCGGTGTGAGTCTTGGCTACTCCTCTTCCGATCCAGCTCACTGCTATGGCCTGGGCCCCTTCGCCCACATGAGAGACCTGGAAGAAGCTCCTGGCTCCTGGCGTTGGATCTGCTCAGCTCCAGCCGTTGCAGCTATTTAGGGAGTGAAACAGTGGATCGAAGACTTTTCTCTCTATCTGTAACTCTGCCTCTCAAGTAAATAAATAAAATCTTAAAAAATAAACAGCAATTCTTTCAGAGAAAACTTTAAAGAAAGAAAAATACATAGGAATATTCAGCCACCTCCTAACAGATCTTCACTCAACTGTTATCAATCCCATGAAGTTATAACCATCTGTTTTCCCCTGTTTTAAAGATGAGCCTGTAGACTTTTTTGTTAATTGTTGGGGCTTCATCGTTTAAAAATCTGGGCCTTAGAAATCATCCTGCCCGGCTTTCCCCACCTATAAAAAATTTTAATCAAAGATTTTTTTATCATAATCACAGTAGCTATGATGTGGTCAATGAATACATCAATTTTGTTTCCAGGTTCTTGTCTCCTGCAGAGAAATACTAAGCAGAGACTGCTCTCGTGTGCAAATAGGGACAGAGTTCATTTGGCAGTGAGGGGATTCCAAAGAATTGCCCACAAGTGAGAGAGAAGACAAACCGAACAGTACCTGTCGCCAGGAAGGTCCGTCCGAGCTCTGTGGCAGCAGAGTCTACACAGGCGTGGCACATCCGAGGGTGCTCCGTGCAACATTAGAGGAACTCTTAGTCTTTGACACCTACGCCTGCGGCAAACAGCAAGCACAAAACGAGAGAGCTACACCTAAGCAGGGTCCGCGGCAGAAAGAGAGCTCCTTCCTGCTTTCCACCTCCTTTTATAAGGAAGGGGGTGGAGTCTCAATCAGATATGCAAATGGTGGGGTTTGCACATGCACCCTGGTCTCAGGTGCAGCAGGTGCCTCCTGGGAAGGTGACAGTAGCAAACCCACAGTTACAAAGTCAACTCCATGTGGCAGCAATCAAGAGTTCTAGCTCAATGCACCCAGCTAGCTTCCTGCCTGTTGACCCACATCAGGTGGTTACGGTATGCATCAAGAAAACACAACAGTCACTGCTATGGACCTTCAACCAGCAGACACTCCCACCCAGTCGTGTGTGCTTGGTTCTTGATTACCACCTGGTACTGCATTTTCCTGCAAGAGAAATGATCTCAGCTCCACAAACCTGGCTGTCTTCTCCGGACAGCTTGGCTCTGCCAGAAAAATCACAATAGAGTCACAGCGCACATCCACAGGCCTCGTGGCTGGCCATTCTTATAACTGGCATCAACACTGATCTTCAAAAGTAAAAAATATGGTTCTTGCAAAGATAGAGAATGAACACAAGCCAAAGAATTATGTTACTCATTGATGAGAGAATCAGCAAGATGGCAAAGCTGGCTCAAGAAACATTTGAGGAAACGGGTACTTAGAGGTGTTTGAAAAGAGAATGTTAGTGACTTCTGAGGCCGGCACTGTGCTGTAGCAGGTAAAGCCACCTCCTGCAGTTCCAGCATCCCATATAGATGCCGGTTCGAGTCCTGGCTGCTCTACTTCCGATCCAGCTCTCTGCTGTGACCTGGGAAAGCAGGTGCGCCCCTACACCCATGTGGGAGACCCAGAAGAAGCCTCCTGGCTCCTGGCTTTGGATCAGCACAGCTCCAGCCATTTGGCCATTTGGGGAGTGAACAATTGGATGGAACACTTCTCTCTCTCTCTCTGCCACTGCCTCTCTCTCTGCTTATGCCTCTGTGTGACTCTTTCACATAAATAAATAAATCTTAAAAAAAAGTTAGTGACTACTAATCATAATGTGGGATCCCGGAACAGATGGACATGAGCAAATATGAGTAAAGTATTGATTTTCATCAATACAAATCCATCAGTCTTCATGAATTGTGACAAATGTACCAATTCATGATAAACTCGGTAGGTGGTATGTGCCAATTCTCTGTAGTGTGTTTGCAGTAATTCTGTACACCTAAAACTGTTCTAAAATTAAAATTTTATCTTAAAATGTTAATAGTGTTAGAATAAGAGTTCTATATTAAATAAAATGGGTTAATGGGGGCCGGCGCTGTGGCACAGCAGGTTAAAGCCCTGGCCATACGGGTGCCAGGTCTAGTCCCGACTGCTCCTCTTCCAATCCAGCTCTGTGCTATGGCCTGGGAAAGCAGTAGAAGATGGCCCAACTCCTTGGGCCCCTGCACCCATGTGGGAGACGCGGAAGAAGCTCCTGGCTCCTGGCTTCAGATCGGCTTAGCTCCGGCCATTGTGGCCATCTGGGGAGTGAACCAGCAGATGGAAGACCTCTCTCTCTGTCTCTACTTCTCTCTGTAATTCTGTCTTTCAAATAAATAAAATAAATCTTTAAAAAATAAAATAAATTGGGTTAATGTCCTATAAAGCGATAATAACCTTCATTTGCATCTCTTCCAGACAAGGAGCTCAAGACAACATGTAACTTCACAGACTTTGTCCCTTTAATCATTAATGGATAACAAGACAAACAAGCACAGTGTCTGAAATATTTAAATAATTTTTAGCAGAGCTGTTAATGCTACAAAGTGACATTAAAAGAACATGCCCTCCTCCTTTTGCCTTATTTCCAAGTTTTGAATGCAAAATTAGCTTTTTAAATATCTTCCCACCGTTTCTCTTCTGGCTGTACTTAAACATAACAGTAACGTAAGTCTTTCTTTTTTTTCATATTATGTCTTTTTTTAATTTTTATTTAATGAATATAAATTTCCAAAGTACAGCTTATGGATTACAATGGCTTCCCCCCCCCATAACTTCCCTCCCACCTGCAACCCTCCCCTCTCCCGCTCCCTCTTCCATTCCATTCACATCAATATTTATTAAGAAGATCAATTTAGCATATATTAAGTAAAGCTTTCAACAGTTTGCACCCACACAGAAACACAAAGTGTAAAATACTGTTTGAGTACTAGTTATAGCATTAAATCACAATGTACAGCACATTAAAGACAGAGATCCTACATGAGGAGTAAGTACACAGTGACTCCTGTTGTTGACTTAACCAATTGATACTCTTGTTTATGGTGTCAGTAGTCACCCTAGGCTCTTGTCATGAGTTGCCAAGGCTATGGAAGCCTTTTGAGTTCGCCGACTGATCATATTTAGACAAGGTCATAGTCAAAGTGGAAGTTCTCTCCTCCCTTCAGAGAAAGGTACCTCCTTCTTTGATGACCTGTTCTTTCCACTGGGAACTCACTCACAGAGATCTTTCATTTAGGTGGTTTTGTTTTTTTTTTTTTTTTTTTTTTTTTTTTGCCAGAGTGTCTTGGCTTTCCATGCCTGAAATACTCTCATGGGCTTTTCAGTCGGATCTGAATGCCTTAAGGGCTGATTCTGAGGCCAGAGTGCTGTTACCTAAGTCTTTCTACATAGTAAGATTTTGCTGATGCTTGGGCTAAATGTTTTATAGTAGGGGTGCCAGGTTTAGCAAATAACAATACAGATATGGGGACCGGTGCTGTGGCACAGCAGGTAAAGCCACTGCCTGTGGTGCCAACATCTCATATGTCCCAGGTGCTCCACTTCCAATCCAGCTCTCTGCTTATGGCCTGGGAAAGCAATGGGAGATGGCCCCCGCTACTCACATGGGAGACCTGGAAGACGCTCCTGGCTCCTGGTTATGGCCTGGCCCAGTCCTGGATGTTATGGTCATTTGGGGAATGAACCAGTGGGTGGAAGATCTCTCTCTCTCTCTCTCTCTCTGTCTCTTTTTCTCTCTCTCTCTCTCTTTCTCTCTCTGTTTCTCCCTCTCTAACTCTGGCTTTCAAATAAATAAGGATTTTTTTAAAATGCAGATGCTCAGTTAATTTTGAGTTTCAGAGAAACAACAGATAATCGTAGTATAGCGTAAATATTGTCAGCATATGGACGACGAATGGTTTTTAGCATCTGCAGGTCCCAAATATTACCAAGGCCGCCCTTCATTGTTTCTGTGTGAGCCTCCAGTTCTAATACTCTGTGAAAACATCCCTTTAGCAACAGATCATAAATATATAGCAAGCACGTTTGTTCTAAAAGCATCTTGAATCCATATTTTCAGCCTAATACCGCGCTCAACAAATACAATATGTTTGAATCCCACACTCCCTTCGGCTTGTTCTGAGCACCAGTTGATGATGGGGGGAGACAGTGAGACCGCTCTGCAGCCTGGCAGCACCTGGGGTTTGTTCCTACTGAGAAAAACACAGTCACAAATACTCCCGTGTCCTGATCCTCCGGGCAGGAAGGTGAATAATAACCCGCTATTGTTTACACTGGCCGAATTCTAATTCTCTGCAACGATGTGTTACTTACTGCCTACTGCTGCATTTTGATGTCGCCGCTTCACCTCCTGACCTTCCACAGTGGTGCAAAGATTTCCTGGCGGTTTTTTGGTAAAGTCCATTTGACTTCCCTTTGTCTTCAGTCATACCTGGGAACCTAGCATAGTTTACCCTGTCTCTGTTTCATAAGGGGGATGAAAACAATGGCAGGCATTTCACCTGTACTGAAAACGGAAATTGAATGTGTGCGCCATCGTGCAAAACGAAGGCCATCGCTAAGAGCAGTAGCCTGTGGACTCGTCTTGCCTCTCGCATCTTCAGAAGCTGAGCCAATGAGAGAACAAGCAGAAATACACACGGCGTTCTCCCAACAACTGCCCCTGGCTACGTCGAGAGGCAGCTGTGAGTCACTGTCCTGTTCCCCCACTCTTCTGAGGCCACCTCTGTCAATGCTGGGTCTGTGGTATATGCAGGGTCTTCAGAAAGTTCGCGGAAAATTTATATTATTAAAAGAACTATGCATGGATTTCAAAAAGTCTTTGCACCGAAATAAACTTCTCTTTCAATTCCTCTGTTCGACAAACGCTTTGAAGTACTCTCCTGTCCATATTGTTACGTTTTTATTTTAGCAAGGTCTGCTAAACAGATTTGGAAACTTCTCTTGGATTCCTTCCATGGAAATCCTATTTTTCTCTTCTCTTGGTGGAACAGTACTTTTTCACACTTGGCTTCTAGCTCTTTTTTCATTCCAGCCCACTCATTAACTCTTGTTGTATTCTTTTTTACTTCTTCCTACAGGAAGTATATAAAATAAACTTCCTTAAAGTAGGGTCTATATTCATTCAATAAGTGTAGCATAGACTCATAGAAATGTTTCTTGAACTGAAAGAGAGTCTGTTTCTGAACCATTTCAAATTTGGCTTAATATTTACATATTTAATTCAATGATTTAATTAATTTACATATGTAATTTATGATTACATTATGGCTATAAAAGTATGACTTATAGTAACATGTATTTGTATCTTGAGTCTGTTTTTCCAATATTCTGGAATGACTACCTAAAAGACCTAACAGATACAACATGGGTGGTTCTACGTGAAAAACCTGTAAACTGTGCTTCCAAACTGATGTACTGAGGAACAAATTTGAATGTCTAAACTGTTTTTAGGTTTTTCAGTTACTGAAAATGTAAGTGACGGTGATTTAAGGAGGGTGATATTTATACTTTCAACATTTCTCCCTTGTAATTCATTTTCCTTTGCGCCTCAGAGAAAGGGATACACATAAGAATCGTCATATCCACCCCCACCCTGGTGTCAAATCAGAGACCTAAGTATGCAGAGTGCAATTCTGCCTTCAACTGCTGAGACCTGTGTTGTTAATCAGACAGTAAAAGTAATTTACTGCAGGGAAGTGTTTAAGCCCTAAATTCTTATCAGCCACCTAAGTGTCCCCTAAAGCACCGTGTTTCACAGTTAGGAAAATGCCGATACAATTTCCACTACCTGTTATTGTAATAAAACAAACGCTGATTCAATTCATTTCCTGAATACTGTCCTCATTTTCTTCGGTAAGACTGAACCTTGCACTGAGAGAAACAGACACAGCTGAAGATATATTCAACTGTATTTATCCCGCCTTTGAGTTTCAAGGTGAAACTTCAGATTTTAAAATTATAGTTACCTCAGATGATTA